TGGGTTGTGGGGAGGACTGAGTGAGTACTCGCCACTGTAAGCAATCAGTGAGTGTCAGCTGCTACTAGTATTATTTTTATTATTCTTATCTTGTTATCTTGTTTTAAGATAAGAGCAAGAGAACTGACATTTATTGACCACCTGCTTTGTGCCAGCCACTGTCATTAATCTAACAATACCTTTTTTGTGGGGTTGCCAAAGGAATTATCTGGCCAGGCATGGTGGCTCATGCCTGTAATCCCAGCACTTTGGGAGGCTGAGGCAGGAGGACTGCTTGAACCCAGGAGTTTGAGACCAGCCTGGGCAACATAGTGTCTCTACAGAAATGTTTAAAAATCAGCCAGGCATGGTGACATGCACCTGCAGTCCTAGCTACTTGGGAGGCTGAGGCAGGAGGATGACTTGAGCCCTGAAGTTGGGGGTTACAATGAGCTATAAACGGGCCACTGCACACCAGCCTAGGCAACAGAGTGAGACTTTGTCTCAAAAAAAAAAAAAAAATGATCTGCATCCAAGTGCCTAGTTACAGTCTCTGGAATGTATGGGGCTGCCTTTTATCATCTTCATTATTTAGTGTAGATTCAGGGAAGGTTAGTAACTCACCTGGCACCATTCAGCTAATAGATGTCCGTGCCAGGCTTTGAACCCAGATCTGTCTGAACCTCATACCTGTTTCTTTTCCTTCCACCACACCAGGCTGTGCCATGCTGTCTGTGAGGCCCCTGCCACACATTTATTTTCTGTTACTTTTGTTCCCTTCTTTTAATGAAAAAAAAATTGCATTATCCAAATCTATCTATAACCCCACTGTTAGGTAAGGCCATATGAAACTACTACCATTTCAACATGTCCAGCCTGTAAAAATGGCATCGTGTGCTTCAGCCTGGTCCTTCTCCCCACCTGCGCAGCTTCTGCCCTGGTCCCCCATTGTTGCCTGCCTGGGTTGTTAGCAGTAGCCTCCTGATCGATTCCCTGCTTCTGTCCCTGTCACCGTCCTCTTTATTCTCAAAGCAGCAACCAGAGTGATCCATCCAAAGGAAGGTCAGATCGGGCCGCCCTGTCCCAGCCCATCTGTGGGCTTCCTCCCATCTGTTACAAAGGGGCTGTATCGTCTGGGCCCCTACTGTGCCTAGTAGAGAGGACTTTGAAGATTGTTTTTTCCTCAGCAAAGAGTAGTTTAGAAAGTACAACAATTCCTAATTCTTGTGGGAATACTTAAGGATGAATTAAGGAATTAAGGAAAATCTGTGAACACAGGATTTGCGACCGCAGTTTCTTGGACTTCTGCAGCTGTTCTCCCAGGGAGCAGTGGTACAGTTCCCCTTTCCTGCTCACAGTGGGGGGCTGCGCTCTTTGGTCACTGTACCCTGTGCTGCTGCTGCTGTGGGTCATGCTGGCCCTTCTCCTTCCCATTTGAAAACCAGAGTGTGCCTTTGCTGTGGTTGTGCTGGAGCTGGCCAGAAAGGAGGATTAGGGTCTTGTTTCTTTATCTGTAAGATTTACGTTGGAGTTTGGCCTTGAACTCTGGTCCTCTGGCTGCTTAGTTGCTCTTTGCTCTTTGGCTGAGTGACATTTAGCTTCTACAAACTTGATATTTTGTCCTCATAGCATTGGTCATGGTCTTTTATTTTTATTTTTTATTTTTTTAAGAGACAGGGTCTCTATCACCCAGGCTGGAGTGCAGTGACACCATCATAGCTCACTGCAGCCTCAAACAC